CCATATTGTCTTGTTTTCTCCTGATTAAACTGTGTGTCTGACAGGCCTATAGAAACATGTCTGTGCAGAGGCTTTTATCCACACTCTGCTAAAGAATACATTTGTAAGGGTGAGACATCTTAGGTTAGGTATCCGACTCATAAATATTCTACTTATGCTTGGAAAAACATAACTTTACCCTATCTGCTCCAAATATCAGACATATGGTGCTGAGCGATTGGCACTTTTTTTCTGCTGTATTTGTATTGGAAGCTTGGCACGGACTCCATCTCTCGCAGTCTGTTAGAGTTGAACACATTAGACTATCTGGTAATAGCTTTCCTCCTCCAGGCTATGACAAATGCGGCCGACTCCTGTCTCCATATGGTTATTAGTGACAGCACTGAAATGTGTGTATGGAGCCGATCCTCTTCTCCCTCTCAGGTGGGTTTGAAGTGCTTCAGCTAGGCTATCTAAGGATACATGCTCCTGCTGTTATTGAAATATAGTAATGACATCCTGCGTTGTGCATTTTGAGTGTGCTGCCTGGTCTCAGCGTTGTTGTGAAGCAACCCAGTCTCCATGTACAACTTTTTTGCATTAACAAATGTGTTTTCTAAGTAGCATACAGTAATGCTGCCAGAATTATGTTTGTGGACCATAACAAAGCTTTTTACTTAGTACTGTGTATTACCCAATATGGGCAATCCAGAGGTTGAACGCCAGATACTTGATGTTTGGGCAATTAAAAGTTGGGTAACTTATTGTCAACTGTTATGTTGACAAGTTATTCACCACATTATTTATCAGTGTTGATTGGTTGACAATCTATTACCTATTATAGGCCAGCAGGAAGGTGACGCCCATAGTGAAATATGAACGTAGTCACCATGACGTCACCCATAGGTTTCTGAAGAGCCGTTGTGAAGCTCAGTATGGTCGGCTCTGGCCCAGCCTGACTGCCAAGATGGTGAAAAATGGCCAAAGAAGTGGAATGTGGGTGGAGCCGGGGCAGGCTGAATGAATCTTGGTTGCTGAAAACAGCCTCCTGTGACAACACCCATCTATCACTCAAAGTGGCCACGCCCTTAAATAATGTTAAGCCTTAAAGGGGAACTTGGCAACTCTATCCATTTCTTCGCTGGTTTTCACTTTTGTCATCGCATGTTTTCTCAACGAGCTCCCCCTACAGCTCTGGGACGTGTATTTCACAACACGTCGTAAAAGTAACCAAATCATTGCGGCCACCTCCTCCTCTTTTTACTGTGCTGATGTGCCTTTTTGCGGGGCACTTTTTCGGTGGAGCAGATTATCTTAGAGGTGGGTATATACCTGGTTATTATGAGGGCGGCGGGTGTGGCGTTTCTGTGGAATTGCCGTAAAAGTTCGTGTTTTCTGCTCGTTTCGCGATAATTCCTATTTCCATTTGACGGGCACGGGTGTCCAACGTTGCCAAGGTTGGTTTCCGCTGGGGTCGCCTGGGTGGGAGGGTCACCATTTTCACCGGAACAGGCCATTTAACCATCCAAATGATTTCTAAACGGGTTTATTAAGCTGAAAAAGTTGCCAAGTTCCCCTTTAATATAATTTAAACAGGTTCTATTAAAATCCACTCCTACAGTTATAGACACAGTTGTGTGTACAGTTGACATAATGTGAAAATTAGCTAATTTAGAGACTACTTTTGTACCAGGGTGTAAACATGTTTATTTCTGTTTCTGTTGTACATTTTTTACATAGGGGATTATGGAGGTTGACTCACTGGCAATCAACTGGCTGTTAGAGGAACTGCAGCTTTTGTTACTTCTGTGTTAATTTTATTTTTTAGCCATGCAGGTTGCCGCTTAGTGACACAGAGCAAGAGTAGAGGAAGACGCAATGAAAGCATTGTGTGGTATTTTGGGCAAGGCCTGCATCCTTTTATGTGTTGGAATAGATCAAATCCAAATCAACCAAAAAAGGTCCTAGATGTAGAACTACACTATTATGACAGGGAGCCAATGCTTTAAAAACTGTTTTCAGAAAAATAGGGCTAGTATATTTAAAATGAAAGACAATACTGACATAATATTAAACAGATCATAAACAGTACAAGAATTTCTCCAAAATGGTTTACTATGGAAACATTTGGAAAATAAATAAGCTAATTACTTAAGAATAATTTTCAGCTTGAAATGATCACATTAATCCATAGAGAATGTAAAGAATGGACTTTTTTCACAGCAGGCATTGTGACATAAATTAGTAGATTAAACACAGGTGTTACCAGTAATACTGATTAAGGTTCAGTTCCATTCAGGTCAAACAGTCAGGGTGCTGCTATTGTACATGTTGGCTCACTGGCAAGGCTCTGCTACACTAAAAGGAACAGAACCTTAAAGTCTGTGTAAAGCAAAAATAAATATTTCGGAGTTTCTCACACCAAAGAAAAAGGTGCTGTGTGATGGAACTGCACATTTTCGAGTGGCCTTTTATTGTGGCCAGCCTAAGGCACACCTGTGCAAT